ATTTAACACTTGTTAATGTTTATATGTAGGACAACACTGAGTATCCCACTGACTCAATGAGAAGTTCCAAGATCTTCCGTTTAAAATAAGCACGTATTTTTTTTTAATTACCCGTTAGGGAAAACACTTTCATTCATACATAGTTATATTCCTTATAGCAACGGTTCTTAAACCAGTGGCGTAACTTACACCCCCGCAACCACCATACCGCGGGGGGGGAGGCAAATCCTGGCTGCAGTCCTGTGTAAGATCCAGCTTGGGGCCCAAAAACCTGACTTTGCAGGGGGGGGGGCCAAATAGTCTCCGTTACGCCACTGTCTTAAACTGTGGTCCGTGGACCCTTGAGGGTCCTTAAAGCCTTTCTAGGGGTTCCTGAAGGTTTCTCATTTAATGTTAGGAATACCCTTTTTTACAAACTCTGAAAGGCCTCGAGGGAAAATTGAAAGATATGCCGTTTTAGAATAGATCACTAAATTGCCCCAAAGAAAAAACTACTAGAACATGTACTTCGCTTAAGAATATTAATTCAGTTTTTTTTTTTTTTTAAATAAAATAACTGGATTTGAGATCCATTTGCAGTAAATGTGAGCGAACTGGATAGTCTCACATCAATAGAACAGATGACAGAAATTTCCACAGATGGAGCTTTGAAATTGGATAACAAGAATAAGTCCCCTCCATACTTTTGTGGTCACGAACAGGAAAATTTTTACGAGTTGATCACGGAAGCTCTGAAAGCTCTGATGCCTTTCCAAGCTACATATTTATGCAGTGGCGTAACAGAGAATGTTAGGGCCTCTCCGGCAAAGACAGGTTCTGGCCCCCAAGCCGGATCTAACAAAGGGTACGTACTTGACATCAGTCAGGCTTTGGGCCCCCTAGAATCCTGCCCCCTCCCCCGCAATATGCGGGGGTGTACGTTACGCCACTGTATTTATGTTAAAAGAGTATTTTCAGCTCTTTATCTCAAAAATAAGTACAGAAACCGTCTGAGAAGAGTAGAATTGGCATTGAGACCGCAGATTTCAAATATTACGCCTGATCTAACAGCATTTGTAAAAGAAATGCAACACCATCTTTCTCATTAAAATTTTGAATTAATACAGTTAAGAACAATATTTATCTAAAATTAGTATTTTGTAGTATTTTTAATTAGATTATTACTGTTTTCTTATATATATAAAAAGGAAAAAAAGAAGCAATAAAAATTTTTTAATTAATAGCAGAGGCAGTCTGATTATTGAAGGACCTTACTCAAGTCAACTTAGAATCACTTAGTCATGTGTTGGGAACAGTGGCGCATACAAGGGGGAAGGGGGTCCTGGGGGTCCAGACCCTCCAAAGACCTTGATTTTTTTCCGATTGATTACAACTTTAAGTACATAGTACGAAAAATTTAATTAAGTATTTGTTATTAATGATTAATTTTATTAATTAATGCTAATTATTTATTCAATAATTAGTTTTTTACTGTGTTGTGTTCCCGAAAATCGACAAAATCAAAAGTAGTATGTTACAAGAATAGTGAACTGTGTGTGTGCTACTGGTTGGGAATCAGGAAAGGAAGTTCAAAATCCTGGGGGGGTGGGGGGCGATATCAGGCTGATACAAAAAGAAGGGCGCCGCAGCGATCGAAGGTTTAAGAACCGCTCCCCTATAGAACTATAAGAAAATAATTTAAATCACATTAAATTTTTATGTAAACTGATATGCTGTACCACATGATTCAGTAAGCGCGTGTGGGGTCACAACATAAATAATAATTCCAATTCATAAAGAAACACAGCGAAAGAAAAAATATCAAACGAACTTAAATATTTTTTTAACATAACACACCAATTATATACGGAACTTACAGTTCTTTGGAACATAAAGCAGCTTTTTAAACAAATTAACCTAAGCATGCGGAAAAGATGTTCTGTGGTATGAAGATTAGGATAAAAATAAGTTTAAAAAAATAATCTCAAAATGAAATATTGTCACAAAAGGGTTCCATTCTCGAAAAAAAAATGGAAAAAGACTTAATTTTGTTTTAGACTCAAAATAAAACTTTTTCTACAATATAAACAACCAACAACGACGGTTATTGATAAATGAATGAGGAGTAAAAGGAATAGTACAATGTACATTGCAACCTCAAAACCCCAGCTGTCTATCTTCGCACCGTCGAATTGGTCCTATCTAAGCCTTCCCTCCGTCTTCCACTTTATTGTGCACCTAAATTTCTACAGTAGGTTTTTAAAAGGTTTGATACTAAAAAAAGTTGTTAAATGTTCCCGGTGTTTCGTTATTGTAACTATTAAGTCTATGTTCTTTCACTGCAATAAATATTAAAAAGTATTAAAATAACTGTTTTTCTTTAACAAAAAATTACTTTGGACTTTTTACCATAAAAAAGCTCCAATACTCAAAATTCATTCCCTCTTGAGGCAGTACTTAGCATAAAATTAATTATTTATTTCATATTTTCCCCTTCTATCTTTATTTTTCCCTTATATATTTATTTATATACCAGGGAACCTCTTTTCCGCATAAAGAGATTTTGAAATTCGGGAAAAAAATTTTTGTTTCGATCCCTCTAATGTGCAATTTTTTTACTTCTAAACATAACCCCTCCAAGACTGATTGAAAGTGAATATCTTCGAAATTAGGGCATTGTATAATCCGGTGTATAGCGCGCACCCCCTTTCTTACAGAGAAACCTGAAATTCACGTGTGCAACGCTCTCCTGTTTTGTAATCCTTTTTTGAGGAATTATTCCAAGCTTTAAAAAAAAATAGCACACTTCTAGAATTACAACCTTTTAGGTCCATTAGCTATGCCATTTATTTTAAATAAGCAATGTATCGATGTACCGTAAAATCCGGCGTATAATGCGCACCTATACATTCAAGCTGCATTTTTTAATTTTTCGGTATGTTCGCCGTATAACGCGCACCCCGTTTTGTACGAAGGAATCTGATATGATAGTATACGATGTTCTTATGATTAAAGTCATTTATTCGAGATATTTTTCCAGATTTTCGAAATAATAGTATATTTCTAGAACTAGAAATCTTTTAGTTCATAAGGTATGTCATTTCTTTTAAATATACAGTATTTCGATTTGTGTTGAAGTAAAATTTGTTTTTATGCTCATCTCTTTTGCTATTTTTAAACCTATCGTTTTCATACCCTGCGTATAACGCGCACCCTTATATTTCGATCTCATTTTTTGTGTTCAAAGTGCGCGTTATACGCTGGATTTTACAGTATGTAGAATTTTGATATTTTTTTTCTATGCTCACACTTTTTTTTATTTTTAAAGCTCTCATTTTTATACCCGGGCTCGCTTAAATTTCGATCTTATTTTTTGTGTAAAAAGGGCACGTTATAAGCTGGATTTTACGCGGCATATAGTGATGTGACATACAGTGGTATAATGTAGAATATTATTCAGGTTTTTCGAAGGTATTTTCAGGTATAAAGTCAGGTTTCGGGCTTTAACATCAGTCAGGCTTTGGGCCCCCTAGAAGTCTGGGCCACCCCGCGATGCGGGGGTTGCTGAGGTGTACGTTACGCCATTGGTGACATATAATTCAACACAACATTCCTACTTCTAAACTTCTTTTGGATCTCCTTTTACTATAACTCACAACCATGAATACCCCTCAGGGATTTCACCTTCTTTAGGTGGGTACGGGTGTCACAATCCCGAGGTTCCCTAGTGATATTTTTCTTTTCCCAAGGGGTTTACTATCTTTGGTAAACACGGGTGTCACGACCCCGGGGTACCCCAGTGATCCTTCTCTATTTTCGACCCTCCATCTTGTCATTCAATTTCTTCTTTTCCCGCCCAGACCACAGACCTATGAATGTTTGGCGCAGTATAGGCAAAACTGGCTCTTGCGCCATAAAACACCAAACTCAACTCAACTCAACACAACCATGAATAAATAAAAAGCAAAAAGAAAAGAAGAAGAGGAAAGAAAACAAAGAAAAAATGAACACACTTGTGTAATACGAAACCCTTCGTATAAATAAATATTCATTTTTAAATTATAATTAAAAATGAAAACGATACAATACAAAATAAATAAATAAGATCTGATTTCTCAGGAAGAAAAAAAATTATGAACAAAACATTACAAAATGCTAACCAAACTCTTCTTTTTGGGCACGCATTTCCTTTATAAATATGAAAGTAAATAAATGAAAAGGAAAAAGTCTTTGCAACAACAACAAAAATTCCAAGCATTCATCCAAAAAGAAATATGGATCAAACGGTTTTGAGAGAGCGGACCATCATTAAAGTTGAAAGTTCGCGGCTCGGCGTCCAATTACAGAAAATGATTTGCTCACGCGAAAACAATCCGATTCTTCTCGGCAGCCACAATCCCAACAATGGTTAGACCGTTTTCCACTTGACACACTTCGGGCAGAGGAGCCTCTGTTATTTTCCGTGATGCATAATCAACGAGAAATTACCTAACCCATTTCAAGGAAGGCATTGCTGAAGAGTGCCAGGCTCGTATAACGTGGTGAATAAAGACATCAGCTATGATACAAAACACCATGATGCGTTTAGAAAACGAAATAGGATAGCCAACGAGGAACAATATTTGTTCATTATTTCTATTGAGTACCTGCGTGTTTGTAATTCTTTCAGATTCTCGCATTTCAAAGCGTATTACCGTAAATCCGGCGTATAACGCGCACTTTTAACACAAGTAATATAAAAAAAAAAAAAATTGAAGTCAATTCCTACTTAGGTAAACAAAAAAATTTTTATTTTAGTTACTTTATATTTAATAATAACAATTACTATAAATATGTATATACATATGACAGAATCACAATATTAAATGGCAAAATAGAAAGCGATTCTCCTTGCAATTTTCCTTTCTATATAGGGTGTTGGATTATTATTTTTGTTTATTACTATTTATTCGTTAATTAAATTTAATTATTCTAATAAAACAGTATAGAGTAAAAAGAAATAACATTCTCAGATATTAGGACAACCCAGGTGGAATTCGAATCCACGACCTTCGGATGAGAAATCCAACGCGCTATCCATTGCGCTACTGGAACACAACGAGCGATTTTCCTATCTATATATGCTGCTGGACTATTATTTTTTTTTGTTACTATTTATTCATTTTTTTAAAAAATTTAATTAATGAATTAATGTTTGAAAAAACTGTATTAACATCAAGTGTCATCCACTACAAGTTTTAAAAAATGTATTTGAACTTGAATGAATGAATAAAAAGTATTTTATTAACGACTGAAAATTTGAACAAGATATATATATATATATATATATAGGAAGAGAGTGAAGTAATAGCAGGAATTAAAAAATAGAGTGCGCTTTATACCGTGATTATACCTAAAAAATTTTAAAAAAACGCAACTTGAGAGTATAGGTACACGTTATACACCGGTGCGCCTTATACGCCGTTTTTTACGGTATATTTGTCCTGGAGATTATTCAAAACGTAATATTATTAATATATATTTTTAGTTGGAGAAAATAAGAGCATGGTGTGCTAAGAAGTTTTTAGGATCACATGAAATTAACAAGTCAAAGCATTGGAATCTAGCCTTCAGTGTCAATGCTTGTCAAAATGAAGAACATTTAATACGAACACACACAAAGAAAAAAAAATAGAAGCATAAAATTCTTCACAAATGTCTTAATGATAAATATTGTATTCGTTAGAAAATTACATATATATATATACTAGCCGATATATACCCACTTCGCTGGGTGTTTCTCATGATGTATGAATATATATTCTTTTTAAATTACTGGGTTATTTAAACGCTATCATAAAGTTTTTGATTGTATTCAAATATATTTTTGTAGCCCTGGCCTCGGGATTTAAAAAGAACTTGAAGTATCTTTTACGCCCCCGTAACTCTCTCTTGGGAGTCGATTTTTGCAAAACCGGTTTTTGGCGGCTCTACAATCAACATAAGGAGCATACTTGTCAAATTTCAAGTCAGCATATCTATTATTTCCGGAGATATCGTGATGCGTGAGTGAGTCGCTTTTATTCTATATTATTAAGCCTTTAACGTGCTCTTTTCAATTACTCTTAAAAACAAGTAATATAAAAAAAAATTTAAGTCAATTCCTACTTAGATCAACAAAGAAAAATTTTATTTTAGCTACATTTATTAAATAGTTACAATTAATATAATTTTTTTTCATAGGATAGAATTCCAACATTAAGTGGTAATTAATTTTTATTAATTATCGTTAAAGTATCGTATTGTCATCCAAAATAATCGTGTATAGAAAATTTCAGCTCAAATGAGGGCTTTAAAATGGGAGAAAAGACCTTTTAAAGTTTCGACACAAGTCGCCAAAAGGGTCGCTAAATCGCCAGAAATGATGTCAACGTGGCTGTATTTGTAATTCTTAAATAATTAGTTTTAATCCATTAATTTTCATTAATTATAATTGAATTATTGTTTCGTCAACCAAAATAATCATGTATATAAATTTCAGCTCAATTGAGCGCTTTAAAATGTATTTCATTAACGATTGAAAATTCCACCAAGATAAACAAATAAATATATAGAGAGTGTGAGCTAATAGTAGGAATTGAATAACAAGTCTCTTACACACCACGTTCATAATATGCTCACAATGTAAGAAATGGTTTTGTTTCAATTTTTTAAATGTCCAAAGGACATAAGAAAGTTTTATACATAACATTGCAGTCAATACACTGCCTGAAATATGGTTATTTGCAGTTGATTATACTGTGTCGTATTCTGATCATTTAAAAGCTGATTATATAGAAGGTCGTTCGCACTTTATGGAAACGATTTTGATAGTTAATTTTTATCAATAAATACCGTATTTTTTGTGAAAATTTGCATCGGTCTCATAGCCATGATTCTTGACAATAGCTCTAGCTCGAATTTCTCATGAAAGTAAACTTTTTCTTAGTACTGCCAAGCAAATTTTACTCCATTCCTTTTAAACCGTTTTCCAAAGTCCGTTCAGTGTTCTTGGATGCCGTTTTCCTAAGGCTCCTTTTAATAAACCGAAAGCACTGAAGTCCATTGCAGAAAAGTAGGGTGATTTTACACTTTTTTCATCATATGGGATGCGCTCTTTATTCCTGTTTCTGATTCTTTCTTTGCTAATTAAGCGACAGTTGACTTAGATGTGTTACTAGAGGCTTTCTTCATATGAAGCTCAACTTTATCAATGTTCTTTTCATATGAAGTTAAAATTTCTTCTTGAAAAATTGGCTCTAAGATATTCTGCTGATAGTAGAGTGAATTAATTTTGGCTTTATGCGAGACTTTTTTGATTTTAAATTTGCCGTTGTTAGAAAATCCCGCAACTACCGTGAATCCCTTTAGGAACTTTACTGTACACTGACGAAGCCATTTCGAACAGTCATTTCCGTCAGTTGAGCAACAGAAAATGGATCTTCTTTTGCTACAGTCACTTAAATATACCCATACCTCATCGAATGTTATCACAAATTTCCATTTTTCAGCAGCTAGGTGTTTTTTACATAATTTTCTACGATTTGCTTTTCTTTCAGTAATATGTTTTAAGGAGGCCCGGTACGTCCATCAGAGCCCATGTTAAATCCTATGTTTACGTACCTTTTTCTCAGAAACTACTTACTTCTCATAGATAATATTTTTACAGTAGTTTATGTGTTTTGTCAATAAAACTTTAACGATGAGTTTTGTCTTTTTGTTAAAAATTAAAGTAATTATGAATTTTTTAAGAAAATGTCCAATTTTTTTCCGAAAATTTAGATTAAAAATAGTTTTTCTAAAACATTTTACTAGATATATCTAATTCCCTCCATAAAAATGCGTAATCATTTTAAAAGCATGCTCACTGAAAATTTGAGAATTATATGATAAGTAGTTTTTGAGAAAAAGGTACATAAAGCGAAAAATATTACATTTTGAGAAAACAAGCTTTAAAGTAAATTTTTTTCGTTTTTGAGTATTTACTTTTTTAGTACTTTACAGAAGCATATGAAGCATTTTCTTAACCCTCTTGGTAACTGACGAGAACAAAATTTAAGTTGGTATCTCACTCTAGTGATTTCAATACAATCACGAGAGAGCTTTGAAATCCAGTTATATTCAATGGGCAACTGCCACCAACATAAAAATGTCCTTTAGCAGTAAGACTCAATCAAATATCATTAGCCTTACATTTTGCGAGCTTGACTATTGAGCTATCATTGCCCGATGAAGAAAAACGGAATAAAAACGAGAGATTAAAATTTTTCCACAAAAAAAAGATACTATTCAAAGCCAGTAAAATGAATTATGAATACAAAGAATTGAAGCAGGTTATTTTTGAAAAAACTCATGCTATAAACCTGTTCATATATTAACTGGTATATCATTCACTCTAAAATATTCACAAACATCTTGCAATTTCAGTTCGAATGCTACAGAATAATACATTTAGAGTCTAAAACACGTGATGAAAAAAGAAGCTGTTGTCAAAAAGTAGTCTTTTTTAAAGATGTTTATTGAAAATGTTGGAAATTTTTTCTATGCGTAAAATTACTTCTTTTGCCTTCAGTCACAAAGCTATATTATCAAGACGAAAAGTTTATTCTTTAAATATTTCAAATTACTCGAATATTCTGGTAGTGGATTATTCGTTTATATTTATAGAAGATTTATCAAGAATACAATTTGCGAAATTTCTTTCTCTCTCTCCCTTTTAGGCGTTTAAATAGTTCATGAATAATCCATTTATTATACAGAGCCAAAATTTTCTTTTTACAAATTAAAGTCGACAAACTTCACAATTGATTCCAACCAAGTTAAGAATAGTCCTAAAGTATAGTCATACACATTCATCCAAAATAATCCTGTTTTTGATTTTAGAAAAATGTTCCCAAAAATACTGCATTACTATTAAAGGATAACAAAAGTTCACTGACACTATAAATAAAATCAAGCATTAAAAGTAATAAATAGGAAATTCCTCGAGAACTTTTAAAGGGATTTGAATGATTTCGAAAATTTCAATATAACCATTTTATTGAGTTAAAAAAAAAAATTCTTTCACTGAAAATAAAATTGAGCCTTACGCTAAAAAAAAAAATTCAATGTTTCAAAAATTAAGTAGTAATTTAGAATTGCCCGAATTCAGGTTTTTATTGTGGGACTTTCAGGCAAATCTATAAGCTTATTTGGGGGTTGTTTTTCTGTCTATTTCTTGTTAACAAATGTATGGTGATTGTTTGCCTATAGAAGCTCAATGTCAGATTTTACTCAAAAATACCAAAAATATTATTTTCTTCTACGGCATGTATTGTAAATTCTATTAACATACATTCTCTGTTCCATTAAATCAGAGCAAACTCTTTCAACTCATAGAACCCCTAGAACTTGGAAGGTGCTTTCGTGGAGCCCCTAGAACTAGAAAGTGTTTTCGTGGAGCCCCATTCCATACATATACTTCGAAGAATATATCTCAGAATAATATTCAAAGTAGAGATCAACATGTTACTCGCACTTTATGTAAAGGCAATTAAAAAAAGTACTGTTTTAATATTAAAAAATTCTTAACTTATTTTTTTAAATATAATTTGCTCATTAATAATATTAATTTGTGAGCCAAGTGTCACCTATCCATGCATTATGTTTAATAATAGGGATATATGATTGGTTTTTTTTCACAAACTCTCTCTGTCGAAGTCTAGGTCAATTGAGATTAAATGCAATCGCATTACTTATTCTGAGTTTAATTTATTTTTATACTTTGCTTTTTTAACCAGTAACGTTGAGAAATATATTTCTATTATACACAATGTTCTGAATGGTATTAAAATGTTTATAGCTTTGTAAGACATCCCGTGTATTTTGGATGAATTTGCAACCTAAAATTTAGAGAAGCTGTTCTTGTTTAAATTTAGATTTTAACATCGAATCTGTTGATATGTTGTTTCCTCTCCTATACTTCATTATAGGTATGTTTTCTACAAATGCTAAAAGGTGCATTTTCCATTCGAAAATTATTCAGTTTTGCAAGATATTGTGCTAACTAACGAGTATACGATTATCTCGTGGAATCC